TAAGGTTAATTAAATGCGATTTTAAATCGAATACAACTATGAAGAACAAATCTTGAAGACTCCGTTTAATCGCAGACACTATAATGGTATGGCGCTTCTACATAACACACCAGAGGCTTTGAAGCTCAATTTGTGAATGGAAGCCAGCAAAGCCAAAATCACAGAAATTGAAACTGGTCGTGAAAGAAAAATGCAAGATAGTTCAAAACTTCAAGGAGAAAGTTTAGAACTTTCTTCCACTGTGCATTTTGTAAAAAAATAAAAACAGGTCCTGGGCGAAGTACGTCATCAGAGACAACAGGGTATTTTAAACAATGTTTGTGTTTGCGCACCAATGGCACGTTTTGATTTCAGGCCTCCGGAAGCACTCCATCAGCTACTTTATTAACAGTTTTGATGTTCAAAAATGTCAAAAAAAAAAAAAAAAAAACTTATGTAAAAGCCAAAAAGCCCTTTAAGTTCAAAAAAATGCACTTTTGTTTACTTTGTTATGTGTCAATTTTGGGGAACCAAAACCATAAAGGCGAGATGTTAGTGATGTTACTAGGATGCTTCCAATACACAGTACTGCTGTCTAGTTTTCTTCGGTCCTGAGTCACAAAAATGTAATTAATGCTCGAAGCCTTTCAACATATGCGCGCCACTTTTTTGAAGACTACCGAGATCGTTTACTTTCTCGCAGGCACCATTCACCAAGATGTGATGCTCAGTGGAGCAAGCTGTTCTACTCACTAATCTCGCTTCTCGCATAGTCGTAACACAACATCTTGTAAGTCGTTCATCTGGCAGAAAAAGTGATTTTCTGTATGGTCAAAAAGAGGCTTTTCAGGCATCCTTCGCTCCACTGCAGTTTCCGTCACCGTCAGCATTCCCTTCCTCAGCTCTGAATAATGACCATGCCTGCGTATTAGCGTCAATGCCTTCAGCAAAGTGACATTGAAGAAACAAGCACAGTCGCTCGATTCGACACCAATGCAAAATTTGCAGCAACCGATAGTCTCTCTCTACATTCATTCTTCGAATGGACACTGTGGTGCACGTTGACTTTCAATCAGACTGAATGAAGCTGTTTTCTTCCAAATCGCCATTGTTTATGTGCAGTCTGGTCGTGGTCATACCGACACTTTACATCAGCTTCGTTTTCGATCCCTTAACTTTCAAGTCCACTTCCTTCGTGCACTGTGTTTCTGTTGCACATCATTTATTTTGCGAAGATTGCTCACAAACGTCTCCAAAGCGTTACCAGTCTAGGTGCTCGTCCGAAGAAAAACAATAAAATATTGCAATTAAACACTGAGAATGTAAAATTGATGCAAAAGACAAATAAATAGCAATGCGCACCAGACTAGCCGGTGCGATCATGCGTTCTGTGCAATTCAGCCCATCGAACGATTGCCTATTAACGATTTTCACTGCTTTGTACTTTAGTCTATGCAAAAATAGTTCAAACATTGGAAAACAGTCAAAAATTCCACGCATCAGGGCATGAAAGCTGAATTCGAAACATTGAAGGAGGAATATCTTTCCGTGACTCCCGACTTAATAGTTTATCCGCCAAAATTTTCACGAGGCCGTAGGGAGTACCCAACAGCGCGAGAACGCTGAATTTGAATGGGCAAGGTTGAACACGGCAGGGGGTCATTCCCCTAAAATTTCAGCCTCCTAGATTCCATGGTTCCCGAGATATAAACTTACCCGTAAAAAATTTACACGGGGCCGTACGCGTTACCCGCGGGTGCGGGGAAGCTGAATTTAAATTTGCGGGGTCACACGTG